AGACAGCAGTTTAAGGTATCATATATTTAAGGCAGCATCCGTTCCAAACGGTAGGCAGCTGTGTATTTTATAATTCATAATTATGCAGTATAATTATTCCAAATGAGTCACAGCATAATTATGCAGCCTTCTAAGACGCTTTCTTTTGGCCAAATGCTAAAGCAGCACTGCATGTGTCTTTTATGTAGAAGACAATCCCATAATGCAGTCAGAGTCAGTAAGAAGAAAATCCATCCAAGAATGAACAGCATTAATATATAAATGTTGATTATTAATGCACTTGTATTTCATTCAATGCTGAAAAACATTTGGTCTCTTTAATAATGATATACATTTTTATAGGGGTCTGAAATTCTACCAGTATTGTATAATATTTTATATAAATTTAAAAAATATTTCAGTAAATAGAATGTACATTTTAAATGTGAATTTTGTCTCTTTTATTAATATTAATTGTTACGGGTGTAACATGCTAGTAATATTATTAACATTAATATTTCATAATATTTGACAATAATAATAATAAGTACATAACATACTGTTATTATATATTTTATTAGATTGCTAGGAAGTCAGATTTTGTATCTTTTAAGCATATAGTTGACCTTAAAGCTAACAGAGAATTAACTAAAAACCACAAAAGTCCCATTTTGATTTATACATTATTTACATATTTAAATGTGTGTTTGTGTATATATATATATATATGTAACGGAGCTGACGAGATGTGAGGTTCCATCTGCAAGCTTTTATTTAAGAGACGTGGTCGTAACAGGCAGGGTCGAACAATGGCAAACAGGTATATGGCGGACAAAACACAAGAACAGTCCGAGGGCTAGCGTAGGTCAACGATAGGCAGACAGAATCACAGGGGCGAGACGAGAGGGATAAATCCAGGGAAACAGGCAAGGATCAGAAACAGAGAAAACATTTTAAAATGTAGAAATGTGTTTTTCGGACCACACTCACGTTGCAAAGTTTCGGGAATGGCATCCGCATATTTATGCTGGATTCGCTCTCGAAGTAGCAGTGATTGACATAGTGATAACCATAGCAATAGATGGGACAAAATATGTGAAAATGTGCATTAAAACTAGAGCACCACTCCGTAATGTCAGAAGCACCCTCAGTGATTATTTCTGGTTGGTACGCTTTTATTGTATAGCCTACAAAAAACAACAAAATACAAATGCACTAGATAAAATAATTTAATAAATGCATATTTACAATTTAAGCACTTAACTAAAATAAGTATTAAATAATTAAATAAATAACTAGAGAAGGCTGACTAT